ACGGGAAGGTTAAAGACACTAAACACAGGTGTATTATATGTGCTCTAGCGTAGAGTGGAGGATACGGGAAGGTTAAAGACACTAAACACAGGTGTATTATATGTGCTCTAGCATAGAGTGGAGGATACAGGAAGGTTAGAGACACTAAACACAGGTGTATTATATGTGCTCTAGCGTAGAGTGGAGGATACAGGAAGGTTAGAGCCACTAAACACAGGTGTATTATATGTGCTCTAGTGTAGAGTGGAGGATACAGAAAGGCTAGAAACACTAAACACAAATCTACTATAAATGCTCTAGCATAGAGTGGAGGATACAGGACGGTTAGAGACACTAAATACAGGTGTAGTATAAATGATCTAACATAGAGTGGAGGATACAGGAAAGTTAGAGCCACTAATCAGAAGTCTACTATAAATGCTCTAGCGTAGAGTGGAGGATACAGGAAGGTTAAAACCACTAAACACAAGTCTACTATAAATGCTCTAGCGTAGAGTGAAGGATACAGGAAGGTTAGAGACACTAAACACAGGTGTAGTATAAATGCTCTAGCGTAGAGTGGAGGATACAGGAAGGTTAAAGACACTAAATACAGGTGTAGTATAAATGCTCTAGCGTAGAGTGGAGGATACAGGAATGTTAGAGACACTAAACACAAGTCTACTATAAATGCTCTAGCGTAGAGTGGAGGATACAGGAAGGTTAGAGCCACTAAACACAGGTGTAGTATAAATGCTCTAGCGTAGAGTGGAGGATACAGGAAGGTTAGAGACACTAAACACAGGTGTATTATATGTGCTCTAGCGTAGAGTGGAGGATACAGTTATTTGAATTATAAGGAACGGCACGTATAATATCTTTATGTTGTATTTTTAATATTGTATAAGCTAGGTTTTTATAAGGCTAGATTTATTTATGTAAGTTGTTATTGAGAATGTGAAAACTTTCCTTTGTGACGTGTTACTTGAAATGATATCCAGTAACTAGTGTTTTTATATATAAACTTATAAGTGTGCCGGGTGTACTTAGAATTCTATAAATATGTTGCCGTTCGAAATACTTATGATTAAAAACATTTCTTTTGTTTTTGTTGTCTAGCAGTAAACACAAGATCAAACCCATACCTCAGGTTCTTCTTCACTCAGTGATCGGTTGATGGATACGGGTCCAGATTTTTCTTTATCCAGTGTTCCATGGTTTGTTTGTTGTTATATCCTCATGGTTTGTTTGTTGTTATATCCTCATGGTTTGTTTGTTGTTATATCCACATGGTTTGTTTGTTGTTATATCCTCATGGTTTGTTTGTTGTTATATCCTCATGTATATAATACGTTTCTTTCGCATAAATATATATATATATATACGAAACGCCCACGTGTAATTGCTTTTCCTTCAGTATATAGAAAGTTCGAGTGTCCCTTCTGACTTGAAAATATCCTGATTCAGCTTGTAGCTTGACGAGCTGGCCTTTTGATGTTTTGTAAGCATTTATAACTGGAAAAGGATATTTTTCTACGATTTTTATTTTTGGTCATTATGAAGGATGGGATTTCTTTACATATGAGCATATCATTCCCATACCATTAACTTGGACTTTTGTGTAATTAGGATGTGCTCCATCTTCGGCGTAACTTCAGAAATACCGAACGAGAAGAAGTTAGGAATTACGTCGAAATAGAAAAAAAAAAAAAAATGACTACTGCCTTTTTGTTTTCTTCTGATGTTAGGAATAGTTAATTCTACATATTTCATTGAATTACAAACAACATCATATTTATAATATTTGTTGAAAAGAGAAAAGATAAATGTAGTGTTGAAGAAGCTTGAAGAGTGTATATCATTAAAAGCCGTTTTTCCAGCAACGTCTATGTGTTCTACATCTTTGTCTGTTTATATATGCTGAAAGGAATGTTCGCAGCCCAGTGGTTAGCGTGCTGGAACTGTGGACGTGAAGTTTTCTGGTTAGCGTCTCCCTAACGTCACACAAAAAAAAAGAAGAAAAAACGGGCTCTACGCTTTTGAATCGCGGGTGTATTATAAAAATACCGGTCAAATCCCACTATTCAATCTGACACGTGTAGCCCAAGAGCTGGCGGTGGTTGGTGCTGATTGGTAGTCCTACTAACGCAGATAGCAGCTTTGCACGAAATCCAACAAAGTAAACAAGCAAATAAACACTTTATAACAAACACAGTATTAAGATGTACTGGAAAATATTATTCACATTATAGTTGCTTTATTAATTCTTCTTAGGTTTGAAAGGTGGAACCGCTACATGCCAAATTAGAAAAATAAAGTATGAGTTTGTCTACCATCTACACAGCTCTCTCCTGTTTTAAGGTTTAGCCTTCTTTTAGAAAGGGAAAAGCCAGTCTTTCTAGTGTAACCAAAAAAATAATCGGAGCTGAAAGGTTTCGCATTTTCCGTGTTTCAGCAAATTTTAACTAGCACACCCATTGGAATATGAGATGAAGATGAAGAAGAAAACGAACTTAGAAGCATCTGGTATCACAACAAATAATTCTTTTTCGTTTCGCATACAGAAGTTTAAGCCACAACATGATTATTTGAAAAATGATGTTTAATTTTTAAATATTCTACTATACGAATATATCAATATAATGCATTATAAATATAATCTATTGAGACACAAAATGTCACAGAAAAATTGGAAAACGCATGGCTGAAATTCCATGCAACTTCCACTATGTTCTTTTCCAAATCAGATTCGTGCTTGTGTTTTTTACAGTGAGTATCGCCCGGCATGGCCAAGTGGTTAAGGCACTCGACTCGCAATCTGAAGGTCGCGGGTTCGAGTCCCTGTCACACCAAACATGCTCGCCCTTTTAGCCGTGGGGGCGTTATAATTTGACGGTAAATCCCACTATTCGTTGGTAAAAAGAGTAGCCCAAGAGTTGGCGGTGGGTGGTGATGACTAGCTGCCTTCCCTCTAGTCTTACACTGCTAAATTAGGGACGGCTAGCGCAGATAGCCCTCGTGTAGCTTTGCGCGAAATTCAAGAACAAACAAACAAACAGTAAGTATCGAATGTAGAATAACGCCCTCTAACTAACCATGGCGTTACATACCCATTGAAATAAAATCGCTTCAGAGGAACTCCTTCTGGACGAATGAAGAACAGCACTGAAAGAGTTGAAGTGCCAGTGAAATCTAGACTGATATATATGATATCTAGACTAATTTAGAAATTTGTTAAAAATAGAAGTGGAGCTGTGCTCCATCACAAAACTAGGCCTGGGAAAAGCATTAACATCGTGTTTAACGAACTTTGTTAAATAATTTCGTTTTTATCTTTATCCAAATATGGATGCCCTGACTTTGTGCATAGTGCCATTTTTTTTTTTTCATGTTACCCTACCTTGCTTATTTCACAATAGTTCGTATCAGAGGCGAGGAAATATCTGATACTGTATAGAAGGACAATGAAGCCTTAGGTAAGTATTTAGAAGGTTTTAGAAGTTATGCAAATTCAATATGCGAACCGTACGAAGATCACTTTTGCACTCCGTCTTGTCAGAGTTGAAATCTGACTGACTTCGGCATTTCACAGATATATCTTTAGTACAAAAACTTTAGTAACATATCCAATTTTTTTTTCTGCATAATAGACTTGTACTTTTTACTAAAAAGCTTACCTCGTTTCGTGGAAATACACTTGTAAGTTCGGAATGATTTTGTTTGTTTCTTTGTAATTAAGCACAAAGCTACACAATGGGCTATCTGTGCTTCTGCCCACCACGGGTATCGAAACCCGGATTCTAGCGTTGTAAGTCCGCAGACATACCGCTGTGCCACTTGGGGGCTTCCGAATGATAGTGAGCATTACTTTTCCATTACACAACGAACCACCTCCGTGTGCATTCACTTACACAGTAACTCCTTTACTTATACCAACTTTAAGCCCATATTTTAATTTGACTTTAACTCTGTTGTTCAAACAAATATCGCGGTGAGACAGTAAGCATTTGGGTTATATTAATCAGGAAGATTAGAAAATCTATTTTTAGACGAATCAGTTATTTAAAAAGGTTATAATTGTTTGGTGAAAAATGTTTCGACTCGAGTCGATCACGCGAAGGCAAACTATGTTTTTATTTTGGTCCCCTTTTTTATCGTTTCAAAATAAGGAAAAAAATCTTGATACATGAACAAGTTATTTGTACTTAACGAAAATAAAAATAAGAATCATTTGTAAATAACTTTAACTGAAATGTGCCCCGATATCACAAAGTGATCTAAGAGTATATGTTCAATACAAGAACTGTGTTCACAGATGGCGCTGAAATGTTCTCAGCAAAGGTGCACGAATTTCCCATTACGCAGTCGCAGTTTTCAAACGCCGCAGGCTAGTTAAAATATTAGTATTATTAATTACAGGAGGGCGGGATTCAAGCTGTCTCTCTCAAACCTTTATCTCCTATTGACGAAGAGTTTCGATTCAATTTTCCACCTCAACATCCCGTGACAACTGTAGGCCTTTTGGACGCTTCTGATAAAGTATTTGGAAAGATTCGGACTCTGAGTGAAGAAGAATCTGGACCCAGACCAATACAAACAGTGAGTAAAAAAGCACCTGGATCCATATCCAACCGAACAGTGAGTAAAGAAGAACCTGGACCCAGACCAATACTCCAAGTGGTTTTCTTGGAAGCAAATACATGTTTAATACATACTAGACGCGACGTTGTTGTATAGCTCTCCATTTCGGACCTGGCGAGCCGAGTTCGAATCCGTGCGATAACACACTTTAAGCTGTGGATGCGTTATAAAAGTGAGAATCAATCCATTATCATGGATGCTGTTGATTGGCTGCCTTCAGTCTGGTCGGTAGTAAAATTATGGACAGCAACCGATAGCCTTAATAGCTTTGCCATAAGAGGGAATCCACAATAGCCGCGGTTATAATTAGATCTCGAATCGGTCAAGAGATGGAGCTATGATCCAAATGTTTTTACTTGAAAAACAAGAGGAAAACCTCCATAGCTGCGGCATTTGAAATTCTTTCAGGCAGAATTAGAATAAATTAATCTCTGAGGCATTTCTTCCATTTTATTACCTATATTTTTGTGCACTTATACTCGATTCGATTTTTTTACTCATGAGGACCTCTACTAGCCTAATCTCAAATTGAAATTATTTTAGGCAGGATTAGAACATATTAGTCTATGAGACCTTGGGCGTGGTCAAATACATAACCTCCTGAGTCAGAAACTCTAGTTAGATCTCAAATCGGTCAAGAGATGACGGTGCTATGAGCTAAAAGTTTGTACTCGAAAAACAAACAAACGTACAGTCATTCTGTGAGCCGTTATGCCGCGGCTGAAAATTCAGAACCATTCTATTAGTCTCTATGCCGCTCACAGCTTAGTATTCCTAAAATAATACCCCTCCCCCCAAAACAAAACAAAAAACGAAGAAAGAACGACGACAACAACAAAACAACACCCTATTGGCGTAGGAAATCTTATCTTGGCTGGAATTTGTTGGTTTTGTTTAACAAATTAATGAAGCGAGTCTTGAAATGTCTACTTTATGTCGATTTGTTTAGCAAAAATAGTAAAATGACTGTGCTCTTTGCGTTTGATAAATAATTTTTATATTAATTTAAGGAGAATCCGTCAAAAAAAGTTTGAGTTTCAAAATAGATCCAGTTATATTTAGTAATGTCTTTTTCTCGAAGAATTTCGCCAAAAAAAAAGTGTTTTGTTTATAAAGCGAATCCAGATAAATATAAGGCTGAAATGTGTCACTTAAGACCATTTGGAGTTACGGATGTTTCTAGAGATGAAGTGTGTAATGTGTTACTTAAGACCATTTGGAGTTACGGATGTTTCTAGAGATGAAGTGTGTAAGCCTTCACCAGTTGGTTAATAACACCGTTTATTAACATTGCAGCATAGAAAAATTATCACCAAATCCGGATTATTTGAATAACTTTCACACCTATGTAAATAGAACGACTTGATAAGGTATTCTGATATCACATTTGTTGTATTTCTTTGGTAACACATACCTACACAAGTCAAAGTACAAAAACAAAATAATATATATATATAAACTGAAACTCAACGTCGTTCTCTGATAGATAACTATTTTTAAAGTAGAGTTATAAAAAAATCTGAAAATCATTTCAGTTGTTTAACCGTTTGCAATTGAAATACGAAATAATGAAGAACATAATAAGTTTAGAATGTTTAGAAAACATGCACAGACAAAAAGAGCCAGAATATGGCCGGAAAATGTATTTATTAATAAAATAAACTATCCTAGAAACGTTTTTAACTTCGACCGTAAATTGTTTATGAGTTTGAGCCCAGATTTTTCGTACTAAGAACTTGAGTTATGTCTAGTTTTAAGTGTACGCGGTTTAAGATAAAGTCACAGCAATTAATAAAATAAAACCCAACAAAACTCTTGGTTTGTTTGTTAAGTTACACAATAAGCTACCTGCACTCTGTCCACCACAAGGAATCGAACCCCGGATTTTAACATTGTAAGTCCGTAAACTTACCGCTGTGGGACATAACTTCTGATAAGCAAAGAATGAAACTAAGTGGAAATTAATCCTCTGCTAAACTAACGTTCTACTTCTCTGTTCTATGAACATAACAAATTAGTTTTAAATTTCATTTTAACCAGTTCTGTACATCCAGTTTGAATGGCTTATTCTTGTAGTTCTTATCACAGATTTTGCCTTTAAGTACAGAGGTTTGTTTGTTGTTATATCCTGGAAAAAAGACCCAAACAATTTATAAACACCAAAGGTAAGCAGTATCATAGTGGTTAAAAACAACTAACTAACTAGTAGTAAAGTATAAACTGAACACAATCAAATCACGACCAAGTTCACCTATGGTTGCTTTTTTAAAAACATTAAAATGAGATCCTTTGAGAGTTTTTCTTTTAATAAGGACGAGAAAACACCAGCTATTACGATCGTTTTTTATAATACAAAGTTTTTTATTTATTCTCTGAATCATTTTGTACACAATGCAATGTTTGTTTGTTTTGAAATTTGCGCAAATCTACTCGCAGACTATCTACGCTAATCGTCCCTAATTTAGCAGGCTAGAGGGAAAGCAGCTAGTCAAAACACACACCGCCAATACTTGAGCTACTCTTTTACCAACGAAAAGTTAGATTGACGTCACGGCTGAAAGGACGAACCTGCGAGTCGAGAGCCCTAACCACGAGGCCATGCCAGAACACAATGCAAAGGAAAACAAAAAATCATTTAACTTGTTTATGAGTTCTCCTCTGTAAAACAAAACATTTTGAAATCTTACCACCAGAATTGTCCAGATACTCGGTCACTATGTTCGTTCGTTGAATTTCGCCCAAAACTATGTAAATGCTATTTGCGCAAGCCATTCCTAATTTTGAAATGATAGACTAGCGAGGAGACAGCTAATCAACACCACCTACTGCCAGTTCTTGGGTTACTCTTGTCAACCCAAATTGTTGGATTTGACAGTCACTCCTACAGCGCAACCACAGTCACAAAAGAACAACAACAACTAACTTGTTACGTATTTTGGTTTTAAAATCTAACAAGCCCGGAGAGGGCTTGAGAGACAATGAGGGACGTTCAGAAACTGTTGTTTCTCTTCGCCCATAGTACGGAGCCCGTTTTTTAAAGCGTTAACGAGACGTGAACAAGAGAACCTCAGATACACAACCCGGTATGCTGACCATTGGGTTACACTCAGTCCTCGGTTTCTATAATCGAGAAAGGTATTCGAAACCTAAGTTAATAAAATACCATCCCTGAATCTGGCCTAGTCCAGTAGTGAACACAGAAAAATTTAGTCATAAAGTCTTAGACTCGTTAATAATTACCGGGAAAAAAGCATTTGTTACAAATTATGGATACAGTAGTACAACAGAGAGTCACACA